TTAGAAATAATAACTAACATCTTAAATTGAAGCCAGAAATAGATCGGCAACTAGCGCAGCTCACATAATAGGGGTGTTACATGCTATCTTAGGGGCCTCCAAAATTTAAGCACTGCTGCATTATCTTTAAACATGCAATCTGCTCTGAAATCAATCTATACTAGTACTGTATCTGTTAGAGAGGAACTTGATTAAAAATAGAAAACATAAGAGTCCAGATACGTTAACTCTTCTTTTGTTAAACTGGAGAGTACAAATGGGTTTAACTCTTAAAGTTATTTTCTTTTGTTTCTCATAAATCCAAAAACCAATTTCATTAAACATATTCTTAACTTTGTTGTGGAAGAGCTAATAAGAAACCCTAGAGAAGTTTAGTGTTGTGACAGTAGAAAAATGGAATGAAAAACCAAGTATAAATTTCTTCACTTATTAAATTCTTCAATATTATTTTGGAGAAGCATTATCAGAAAGAGATTCTGAAATCAAAATCCTTTTTTCTTATCTATTTTTTCTGACAGTGAGACCATCATAAACATCTACTTGATCACCAACATATATACAACCTGCCAGAAAACATTTTTTTTTTCTGAAGGCCTTATAAAGAAGCTAGGATGGATAGAGATAGATAGATAGATAGATAGATAGATAGATAGATAGATAGATAGATAGGGATGGATATGATCGATTTCAATTAAAAAGCTGTTTCAATCTTATCCTTCTGTGCTTTCTTTAAGTATATTCTTTACTAGTATATTTCTGTCTAAGCATATTATATAATATCCTTCTCACATAATCAATATTTCCAACAAGTAGTCTATTATTTTTTCTCATCCACAGCCTTTTTAATTTCATCATTTCATTAAGCATCATTTTCCATTCTTCCCGGCAGCATATACAACATGTAACAAAACATATTTCTGTGGAACTCTGTAACTCTGCACTAAGCAACTTTCACATCCACTTTTCTTACTACCACTTAAAATTCATTCTGTTGATAGATTATCAAATACTTCTGCTTATAGGACTCATGTTTTCTATTTCTGAAGTCATCCTACTTTTTTTCACTCCTTTCCTTTTCTTCTGTGTACATTTTTCACCTAGACCCATTTTTAATACTACCAAATAATGAAATGTTTCAGATTTAGAACCCCTGATGTCATTCACTAATCCTCTCAATCTTTCAGTGTAATCACTGAAATAATTCATGTTTTTCTAACTATTACTTTCTCATGCATCTGAATGAATAAACTGATGCTGATATTTTTATTTTATTTCCACGGCAAATGGTATGAACCCTTTATTCATCTTACACTTGAAGTCAAAACCTTTTGTATGCCATAATCATAATCAGAAAGTCCTGCTTTGATCAATTTCACAGATTGCACATATTTTTTTTTTTTGTTAACACAGAGAAAGTATACAAAAGGTTACTATTCTTACTCATTGTCCCAAAGGTGCTTTTTCAAACAGCAACCGGACTTTGTTTTGCTTTGAAGATGTTTCGCTTCTCATCCAAAAAGCTTCTTCATAAAGCAAAACATCTTCAAGGGAAAAACAAAAAAAGTTCAGTTGCCTTTTGAAAAAGCATTTTGGGGCAACCATGACCTGGATGAGTGGGAATCTCCGTAGACATTCTTACTAATTCTTATACCACATGTAAAATTCTCTGCTAAGAATTAGGGTTGTTAGGGCACATTTTAGCCAATATACCACAAACTGCAATCAAAACCCAATTTTAAAGGTAAGTGCAAATGTTGAACTACAAAGTTAAGAATTTTGGTTTTCATTGAATGATATACAATATAAATTATAATCAATAAATCATAACCAATAAAATAAATTAACAAAATAATTTAGTATTATTTTGTAAATATGCATTTCTTAAGGAATCCATATAATTGACTTCCAACAATATAAATTTTGACTCACAAATACCTATGAGGCTTACATTGCTCAAAATACTTTTCTTTAGCATGATTTCTAACTGAACTCACAAAGCAGACTTTTTAATGATTTTAAGTCATTAATACTTTAAGCCAATTCAGCCATTATACTAAACCATATGGTTGGCTTAGCAGTGAGAATGTTTTCATGCATTTGCTGCCTCAAGCTGTATGTGCAGCTAATAAACTATCCAACATATCTAACATACATAAATATTAGATTGGTTTGTCTGTAAGAAGAAGCCAGAAAACAGTTATTAACATCCATCTCCCAAATAATCTTTGTAGATTTTTGTATATCAAACTTTAACTTTAGATAAACATGTAACACAGTCATAAATTAAAGGCCTACATTCCATTTATCCAGAGAGAGAGAAAAAGAATATTATAAGATAAGTGCAAGAGAACCAAAATATCAGATTAAATAAATAAAACAAAGCATACAATCCAAGGAATAACTCAGTGATAAGTAATTACTGTAGGTACTTAAATCTCTCTGCTTTCAAATCCATCAATTTTATCAAGAATATTATTTGAGACAGAAATACCATCTGCCATTTGATATAGGGTAAAGGATGGTTTTCATCTCAGTTCCTCAAAGCCATATGTCAGCATCAACAGTTTTGATCATAATTAGCATTTGTGATGGCTCTAAGCACAAATACAGTCAATAGGAAGGAATTTATCTACCAGATGACATAGGAACAAATTGTACTAAATATCATAAAAACATTAATACCTTTGTGCTCTATCAAAAATATATTAAAATTTAAGATGAGAATGGTTTTGCTGAAATTTAGAAGACTTAAAAATGATCTCATAATGTTTTATGACTTTTACAGATAATTTTGATGATGGCAAAATGATTAGGCATATAAAATGCCTAATCATTCTGCTAAATCAAAATTATCTGTAAAAGTCATAAAACATTATGAGATTATGTTTAAGTGCTCTCCTAAATTTCAGCAAGAGCAGATCTTGTTCCTCTGCAGCACGTGACGTTACGTGACATCACACAACATATCGCGACTTTTTCCCCATTGCCGGCAATGGGGTGGGCGCGGTTTCGGCATGACGCATCCGGCCCGCAGGCCAGCAGTTTGACATGCCTGCTCTGCAGTAACAATCTGCAAAATCAATGTGCTCATGGTGAAACGTGCAAAAAATGCTCTATTATTTATTTAAAAGTAGAAGGCAGGCAAGCAGCCTTCCTGGTAACTTGGGTCTAACCACACTAAGAATGCTGAAACAAATATCTTTAGAAACTAACTACAATCATGCAGTTATTGACTAACAACATTACGTTTCCAGTTTTTCAAGTAATGCATACTGCCACAATCAAAACTTGAGGATACCAAAATGTGTATTATCACTTGCAACAGATTTATTTTCTTCAGGAAAAGGTATATCTGGTTTATTAGCAAAATCTGAAAAAAGCCTCTTTTCATACAAATGTTATATGACTGCTTAGTATCAATGCTGGATTCAGAATGATCTCAGACCATGAACAAATCTTGTAAATCCACAAGAACCATACCATCCAAACCACCACAAAGATCATTCAGGTGTTAGTGAATGCAGAATATTTGGGATTTTGTGTTCAATTAAGATCTCTGCTGTCACATGAAAGGACACTAACTTCTTACGAGTATTGCATACTTAGTGTAACTATTTGCAAGGAGATAATATATAACAAGGGTGTCAAACTCTCAATGTCATGTGACGTGACATGACATATCGTGACTTTTTTCCATTGCTGGAAATGGGGTGGGAGCGGCTTCGCCATGATGCATCTGGCCCGCAGGCCAGCAGTTATATGATATATAATCATACAAATATACACATTGTCTTCCACAGGAACCAGAACTACCCGCATTGTCTTGTTTCACCATACCCAAATCTTAATTGATGACAGGAGTATGGAGCCTGTCATCGGTTAAAGTTTTAAGACAATTACATATTTTGCGAGCCTTATGGGGATGGTTCCAAAGCTGATGTTAGATGTTTCCATGTCCACGTACAGCCACTTTCCTGAAACTTGCACCCATTGCGAAGTACCTCCTTGCGCTGCCCTAATACAACAAGAACATTTGCAACACAACTCTTTTTATATCTTCTTTCATTACAAATGACCTCCTAGTCCATATTTTGTCATCTTTAACTTTCAATTTTTCAGACTGAAATCTATACAAATTCGGGACAGAATCTCCAGAAGAGCATTTGAAGGTAAGTATGCATAAGAAATATATTTTCTCCAAGTAATCATTTCTACTCTCTATTAAAGAATAGGCCTGGATTATGCACTTACCAAGGTAACATGTACCGTAGTTCTACTTGAATTCTGACTTAATCAGGCTGCGTGTCACATGGCTTTTAAATGTAGCGTACCTTTGGCTATGATTACCTACAATTTTCTAGTCTTCTATAAACTTTAAATGTAAAATTCCTCTCTCTAGCTGTATTTTTGTTTGCTCTAGATATTAGTACTAAAACATTACCAATCTTGGGGTGTCTTAAAATTAACCGAATACAAGACTTCAGCTATACCAATATATCCAAACTAGAGGATATATATGCCTCCCCATTGGATCCACAAGGGGTAGAATGTTGATTATGCTATCATTACTACTATCTCATCGTTTTTTTACTACTCCAATATAAGCTATTGTTTTCTGAAAAGTTTTACTGAGAACAGTCCAAGCCCCCAGTGGTCTTCCACTGAAATAAAATAATATTGTAATCCTGGCTGATTTTGCATACATTTTTCAGGATTAATCAACTGTTGACACCTATCTTTTACACAGAAAGGATTAAATTCTAGAAATCATAATTAACAGAATACACACAAACACATATATACATACACACACATAAAACAAACATCAAAGTTTTAATATCACAAAAAAATTACTTAACTACAAACATTTATTCAAATCTTCTATTATAGACCACTAATAGAGCAAGATTGTACAGTATGTCATTTTAGTTCACTTACATATATTCTATCAAGAAAAAAGATTATTGCATAGTGATTTACTGCAGTGCACCTCATTTTACCTGTACTTGTTCTGTGGAACTGCTACTAAGATCATCTCCAGACTCTGAATCTTGGTGGAGTTTTTCTGATCCTTCCCCTACAGAATCACAGGGTTGTTCTTGCAAGAAGCTGGTCTTCTCGGTTTCCATACATTCTGAACAATGAAAGTGAGACCCAGATAAGTTCATGTTCTGATTGGAAACTTTAACAAACTGTAATTCATTAAACTTTCCATTGTTTAGTGCAAGTTCTATGCTAAGTCCAGTATTCTGACCTGGGCTACTATTTGGTCCCAGATTCTGGTTGGCATCCTGAGCTTGAACTAGATACGATTTCCCTGAAGTTGAAAGTTCTGGAGATTTATTCACATTTTCTGTTGACCTCTGTAAACCATGTGCAAGTTTTAGAGAGTTGTTTGGCAGTCCAACTAATGACCTAAGAGGTGGCATTAGTGCTTTGCGGGTTATTTCTTTAACATATTGTGCTGGCACATAAAAGGGTTTGGAGTTTTCATCCTTTTTGACTTGCCACCAGTCATCATTAGTCTTTTTTACTAAGATGTATTTCTCCCCTTGTTTTATCACAATCCTTTTGTCTTTTGCTTCATACTCATAATCATATTCAACTTCAATGTACAGTGGGCCTGAAAGATTTTTTCCAGCCTTGTCAGCCATCTCTTTTAAAAAGCTATATTTCCAAGTGAAAGGTAAGCCACATGGTGTTTCTTCCTCCTGATTCTCAGAAGACCTACAAAAAAATGTGAACATATTATCATGATCATATAATAAATGTCATCTGCAGATTATTTATATATAAGAATGATCCTCTGACAAATCTAATATTTGGGAGGAATTAGCTTACAAACTCTTTCAAATAAATCTCCCTGTTGGGAGATATGAGTTTCCTTGACAAAAAAAAGTTATTTTTCCAGAAAACTTTCTACTGGCATAAACCTATGGAGACTTGTTTCAGCATGTGCACCTTACATTTAAGAACTAAAATGTTTTATTACTTAGAAAGTTACTTATATCTGAATTTTCCTGTAAAAGTCCAGAGTACAGTATTGAAATATGTGCTTTAGGGAAAAAATTATAACCGGTATGATTTTAACAATAATTAATTATTTTGTGCTAAAATAAATGGATCAATACCTGTCATTTGAAAATTTCTACAGAGGCATCATTTATCTATACCTACACAGTCTATTAAGGCACTGACCAGATTAAGAAATGTTTCACAACGTTACTGCATAATCTGCCTTAAAGCATTTTTATATATTTCTTTTATATTACCTTTAAAACAAAAATAAGCAGTGATTAAAAAATAAAAAATTAACAAAATGAAAATAAGCATAAATTGAATTCAATTATTCAGATAGTAAAAACAGAAAAAGAGAAAAAAAATCATTCAAAGTAATTAATATAGGAACCAAATCACGGGGGAAAGCAAATAATTTGGTTACACTGAAAGACAAATTCCTCTATTCAGTAATTATAAATCCATTTACCTAATCAAATTATCCAAGCAAAAATAAAATAAGTTAAATCTTGTAAAATTTGTTCTGAACAAATCCATGCTGACTTTTTTCAATCACAGCATTGCGGTTACAGCTCAACCTTATGATTTCCTCTAGAATTTTCCCAGGAATGAATAGAAGACTCGTTGGTGTACAGTTCCTGGAACCTTCCTTTGTCATCTTTTGGAAGGCAGGGTCAATTTATCCCAGCCAGTTTTCTGTATTGCCCATTTTCTAGACTTTCTCAAAGATTATTTAAAAAGATTTAATCAGACCATCAGAAAGCCCAGGATATAATCTAGCTGGCTGTGGGATTCAAACATTGCCACTTTTCTTTTCCCACTTATATTATCTCAGATTTAATCACCAATGCCACCAAGTTCATTCCCTTTGATTTCATGCAGATAGATATTTTTAGCATACAGTATAACTCCTCCTTACAGTTGCTTCTGCTGCTTTTGAATAAGTTGTAGCCTTCAGTTGCTATATTCCAATTATGGGAGTCATTCCATCAGATCTCAATCACACTTATTAAATCATGCCTTAGATAATGAAGACCTTTACAGGAATGTTGTTTATGGTTTATTATTGATTTTAAAACCTCAGTTTAATTATTTTTCCAGCTATTCCTGTATTTTACTACTCTTTGACTAGATTGTTAGTTCTGAGGTTTTGCTTCAATTCTCACATAATTCAATTTAAGCCCCTCCCGATTAAATTCAACATGTTTTGGTTAATCACATTCCACAATTTTGGTGAGAAGGAATCTATCCCTTACCAACTGTCCTTCATACAGGTAACATAGACATGAGTCCAAAATCACGTATCTTCTTCATCAATTTCAAAGCCATTGATTCCCCTGCACTATCATTCTTTCCTTTTCCAATTCTCTTTCATGGATGAAAATAGCCCATCCAGGTTCTCCAGCTTTATGGTCCAACTGATGTACTTGTAGTTACTCTTGTGCCATTTGTTATGTTAAGACATAAACCATGGTTTAAAATCGGTAATAGCTGAATTAATATAACATTTTAAGGTAAAGACAAACAAGCACATACTAGCTTATTTGTGTGTGAAAATGGAATGGAATGGGAACCATGCTGTAAACATTAGTAATCTGTTTTAAATTCAATGATAAGTATAAGTAATATGTCCCATTTATCGAATAAATGTAAAACTGTCACTGAAAAAAGGTAATCTTAAAAATCATATTGTAGTAAAGCAAGTCAATGAGGAGTCTGAAATACAATGTTTAAAAGCAACATAAAAGTCACACTACTCCTTTAATTTTCAAAATAATATATTTCAGGAAATAGTACACTTTTACAACATTTTAAAGAAAATTATAAAAGTATGACGTATTTAGATCCATTGCATTTGGCGCTGTGTGATGTTGATAACATTAAGTCAACTAAATTATCAACATTACAAAGAGTTTAACATTAACCAAGGTTTAAAAAAATAAAATTTAAAAACTCAGTCTAATGAAGCCTAGACAATAGATACTATTTATGTCTCACAGGCAGGCATTCTCTCTCTCTCTCTCTCTCTCTCTCTCTCTCTCTCTCTCTCTCTCTCTCTCTCTCTCTCTGTGTGTGTGTGTGTGTGTGTTTTCCCTTCTCACCACTCTACAGGTTTGTATCTTCCTCAATTTCAGGTCCTCTATCAAAGGCCTGGGAGGATTCTGTGCAAGATCTTAGCTGTTCTTAGCATTGCACTCTTCTGGACAGTGACCTCTGATTTTGTTCCTGGGAATTATTGGAGCTTAGAAGTTACCACCCTGAATGTTCCTGCCTCTATTGGGACCACCTTCGCCTTTACTTTATACACACACACACACACACACACACACACACACACACACACACACACACACATAATGGCAGCAACTGCAGACTATTGTGCTGGCAAGCATTATCCTCTACAGCTATAATGAACACATTAATGATGTTGCTAGACAAACAAAGTTAGTCATTGAAGCTATAGTGGAAGACATTTTGATTTTCGTTTGTTATAAGATCTTACCAGCTGAAAGCCAGATGAAGTAAAAACCAATGAATTGGCCTTTGCACAATAGGCATTTTCTCTTATGCTGTGACTTGTCAGCATCTGAGAAACATTTCCATTAAACCCACGATTTCTGGGTACATATTGTATGAGAAGAAAATACACCCCCACCGGCATAACTACTTTATTTGTGCAGATTTTTCTGCATTTCTATAGCCTCATTTCAAGCAAGTCAGCAGAGCAATGTAGACAAAAGGCCTGCATTATTTTCCACATTTCAGATTTTAAAAAATCTGACAATTATCAAGTACATAGAAGTCTGGAAAAAAGATAGCATTTTTGAAATCATCACCATGACAGAAAAGCAAGCATACTATGCAATGCCAAGTCACTGAGTTTCAAAATAACATTATTTTCACATTTTTAGAAAGAAATTGATTTTACACACTAAAATTTTATAAATATTTTACTTGACAGCTGAGCTGGCATGAATCATTTGTACTCAATTTCATATGAAATAGTTTTAAAATGAGCATAAAGATAAAATAATCACAGATGGAAAGCATGGACTGTCAAAACCAGTTAGAAAAAACAGTATAATTCTTTTTCAACATACTTCTCCAGCAACTTGGCTTTTCTTCAAAATAGGATCTTCCTTAACTGGGAAGGTGATCACTAACTTAGATTTAGCATCTCAGAGTGCTCAGAATTTTTAAATGGTAAATAATACTTGAGATCAATATTCACAAGCATATGGACTTTTTATCTATTTGTCTCTTTTTCAGATTATCCAGCAAAAATGTATGGATAATATACTATGTTTAAAGCAAATAAAAGAGTTTAAAGTTTCTTATAAACAGTAAGCTAGACAGGGTAGAAATCTCTCATTAAAAAACAAATGACTATGATATCCCCTACATACACATTTTGCAATATATTCTATGGAGTGAAGTAAAATTATATAAAGCTTTTTACTTTATCCTGGATGAGATTATGTATTTAACCATCAGTACTGGAATTCTTAAATAGCATATTAATAACTATGCAAAAGCTCTTAAGAAACATGTTCTAGGCAATTACCTGCCTTTAAAGACAAATGAACAACTTCCTATCTAAATAATGCTTTTCAACAAGTACAAAAGTAGATTTTTCCATTTTGGAATATTTCTCTATATAGGAAGTTTGTTAAGAGGAGTTAAGGAAAAGGAGAAGAAAGGCATCCACTCCGCAGAAACAACATAAAGCATGAACATTTCCGGCACAAACCAACACTGGCTGTCAGGGCAAACAATCTCCCTGGGAAGGCTGTTATCACCAGGGTTTCTACATATTTCCGGAAACAGGTTGCATTGCCCACAGAAAGGCAGAATTATGCCTGGGCCCAAGTGGGAAGGAAGTGAAACTATGGCACTTTTCTGCTCTCCAGAACACGTGCCATTTACCAGACAGCACTGTGGGTGTGGGATGTGTGTGTGTGTGTGGAGTGTTATGTGTCGATGCATATGTGCATGTGTAGGTAGGTAGATTGAGATAGAACACTTCTCATAAAAATAAAATACAAGTTCAAGACTGACTTTGATGTTAAAACTATTTCGTGCTCAGTCAGTGCTGCAGAGGAAAGTGTGAAATCCCACATACTGTGAAACGCCCCCCTCACATCCACACACCCACAGACCATTGCTAACAGCCTTTTCCAAACGTACACTCCAGGTTCAGGACACCGGTGCCTGGGGATTATGCAATATGTATAGCTCAACACAACTAGAAGATCCCACTTCCACGTTAGAGAAGGCTGCCGCTTAGCACAAAGACATTTCATAAAGCACACACACACACACACAGAAATTTGCTATCCTTTCACCTCGTCCGTAATACTTCCCAAACTTTGGGACCAAAAAAAAAGGGGGGGGTTCCGCACATTGGGAAGAAGTACAGAAAGCTCTTTCCCGCCACCTAATCGCTGTCCGGATTTCTCCGGGTGCCTGACCTCTCTCACGCTCCATCCTCGGCCATACGCGGAATAGCCCTTTGCCCCAAAACTGGAAAGGGAGGGAGCGTTACCCCGCATAATCACCCCGGAGGAAAACGACGCGACCCTATAAAAGGTGGGGCGAAGAGCCAGGCTACGAGGAAGTCCGTCCGCTGGTCCTTCCTTCCCCCGCAATTAAGCGATGAGCCACCCGGCAGCCTCTCCGTGCTGGGAAGCGGCCGCGGGCAGCGGCGGCGGTGCCCCCTCCTCAGTCGAAAGAGCCCCTCTCACCGGAAATCGGAGTCCCAGGCTGGCGCAGGTCCGCTCCTGGCTCCGAGGCGGCGTTTTGTGAAGAGACCAGCCACGGCTTCCTTCTCCTCTCGCTCCGCCCCTCACCCCGTTCCGCCTTCCTCCAGCTGCGGCTCCCAACCCCCCCCCCCCCGACCGCAGGGGACCTCGCAGCGCGGCGTCAGACGTTCTCGTCACGTGGTGGGGAAGGTGGAAGAGAAGGGGGGGAACGGGCGGGAAAAAGTAAACGGGGGGGGGGAAATGTGGTGCTGTGTTTCTCTCGAGCGCAGTCGATGGCGCGCGCGTATGCGCACGCCGAGCCGCCCGTTCGCGTCTTGCTCGCATGAGTCACGAATCAGCCTGTTAAAGCATTGATTATTTCGTTTTCGACTTGTAGCGACCACATAGATAGATAATTCTGTCCATAACCTGTTCTTTCAGGTATTGCTATGGTGCACCTATAGCTTTGTAACGGCGTCCGTCCACCTGGCTGTTGGTCTTCCTCTTCTTTTGTCTTTTCTATTCAATGCTAGAACCTTCAAAGTCGTATGTGAATCATTTGAGTTTGGTCATTTGTGCCTTGAGTGAGGATTTTGGATTGGTTTGTTCCTTGATCCATTGCTTTATTTCCTTGGTGGTCTCAGGTGTCTTCTCCAATACCAAAGTTCAACGCACCAAGCCATAAATTATGCTTTATGAACCAGTTCATTAATTGATTGAAGCTAAATTATTATAATCTCTGCTGTTAGTGACTTCAGTCTCTCAACCCCAGCTTGAAAGGGAGCGAAAGTTACAGGGGAACCTCAATGGCCATTCAAACTTGTGATGGTGCTCAGTGAGAAATACTAATCACTCCTTAAAAGTTCCAGCTGTTGCAGTGTTCCTGAGGGTCACATGGTCTCCATTTGTGAGTTTTGACAGGAAAGTCAATGGGGAAGCCTCAGGAAGTCAATGGTAACTACATGACATCCTCACTTAACAGCATGGATTCAATTAACAATGAAACCGGAAATGTTGGAACTGCTGTTGGTCATATGATCATGCTTTATGACAATGATGAGGAATGTAGCAATTATCTTTGTTTTGTAACACAATGTAATTCTGAGGATACACATTTATTAACCAAAGCCCATTCATTTATTAATACGCATTTACTAGAGTCCTTCAGTTTCTATTAAATATATAAATGGCAAATTGTACACAAAATATGAAATATATGAAAGAGGATGTCTGGGCCATGTCCAGACATGCACATATGATTTATAGTAGAGAAAACAAAAAAAATTAAATAGTGACTTTATGAAGGAATGGTGGCAACCCACCTCTCACAAGTCTGGAGTTGTCCAATATATTCTGCAGAATTTTATAATCAAAAGAGATTTGACTTGAAGCCTGGGGATATATATATAATATGAAACTATTTCAAGACGTTCTTCATGCATGTTATGACAATCCTATGCAAAAAGGTTTACTTAGAAACAAATGTCACAGATTTAACATATTGTGCTAATGTGATTTGTTTTTGGAGTAGGAAGACATGTGACCCATTCTTTAAGCTATAGTAATATGTGTGAACCAGGCCATAATAGCATAAACCCAGTACTATATAATATGTTCTGGATTAATAATACGTTGAATGCAGTTATCCTACAAATGTTTACTTAGGATTAAATCTACTGGATACACCAGAAATTCTAACTTTACAGCATGTACTTTTAGGCTTCCTTTAAACTCATTGGGACTCTTTCTCATGACCGGATTTATTTCAATGTCTCAAAGACTCACTTTTCCAATTCCATTCCAAGAACAACCCTGTGAGGCAGGTTATCCAGGAGAAAGTTACCTGCTACAGTGAGTTTCTGTAGCTGAGTATGGACTTAAAACTGGGGATGCTACATTCCTAGTACAACATCACAATATTAATTTTAAATAAACTTCATTAATTATAGTTGAGACATTTATATAGTAAGGTCTTAATTATGGATTCTGAAATATAGGCTCTGTTGCTTTAGATTTCACAGTGTAATCCCCCAAAGTTAATGAATGGGACTAGGATAACCCGTCTGTATTTATTTCTTTATGAGCAGGAACTCAACTTGTTCTTTCAGTTGTTGCAGTCAAGGATTCATGGGAGGAAATTTCT